TACCTGGCAATGCTCAGGGCTGACTCCTGGCTCTGTGCTCAGGAATCACTCCTGGTGATGCTCAGGTGACTATATGTGGTGGCAGGGATTGAACTGGGGTCTGTTGTGTGCAAGGCAAATGTCCTTCCTGCTGTGCTATCTCTCTGGCCTCTGCCATGATATCGATGCTACAATATCCCTGATAGAACCTTCCCAGGGGCTGTTATAGGTCTCCTGACATGAAGAGTCCAAAGTAGGTGCTTAGGGGTTGGCGTGGTCCCTGAAGCTGTATCTGTGTGGCTTAAGACACATCATATGAAGAGTTCATCTTACCTGTTGGAATGTGTTTGTCAGCTATTGGTCAGCTACAGCCACACACTGTCCCGAGCATGGGGGCGGCGTGCCTCAGAGCATGGTGGTCTGCAGCAGTGACCCCAGTATTGGGGGTTTGCATCCATTTTGGGGGCATCAGTCTGTGTTGCCTGCAGGACACCAGATAATCTCAGGCAGCCTCTGTTTTCTTGTGGGTGACTACACTGGGACCAACAAGTGCTGTGTCATTAGTGGCTGGTTCACATCCAGGACCCTGGGCTCTAGAAAGAGGGTGAAGGGGGCCCAGTCTGACTCGTTGTGGGAGGCGGAAAAAAGAAAGAACAGACAGTTGGCCTAAAGGAGCTGCAGCGTCTCTGGGGAGAAAGAAGGCCGACTGAGGAGGGGCCACTGTAGGAGAAAGCCCTGCATCCTACGTTCTGGGAAGCAGACTCGGTGGCAGAGGGTAGGGCGTGAAGTCGCCTGAGGCCCCCACCAGCGGTCTTTCCTCCCTTGCTCTGTTCTTCCTCAGTGTCCCCTAGTAGCAGAGTGTGTGAGAGAGAGTGTGTGGCTGGGCTGGGGTGGGGTGAGGGTGCTGTTGATCCTCAGTGCCGGGTAGCTGCTGGGAGCCAGAGGGCCTGATCAGGGCCAGGTCGGCTCCATCTGCAGGGGGATGCTGGCCTGAGACTGTCTGCCATGGCAGGTTTGGCCTGGCAGCCCCTAGGGAGAGAGCCCTGCGCCATCAGGCCCTTGCCTGCCCCTCCCACCATTTCTCACGGGTAAGGTAAAGGTAAAGGCCCTCCCGTTGATCGTCGATTTGCTCGAGCGGGCCCAGTAACGTCTCCATTGGAGACTTTGTTGTTACTGTGTCTGGCATATCGAATACTCTCGGTAGCTTGCCGGGCTCTCCGAGAGGGGCGGAGGAATCGAACTCGGGTCGGCCATGTTGGCCGCTTGTAAGGCGAACACCCTACCCGCTGTGCTATTGCTCCAGCCCTCACGGGAGCCTGCACATAATACCTCGATTTGTATTTTTAAGCCAAAGTTGGGGACTCTCATGGCCCCATGCAGAGCAAACAAAGGCATGCGTGGTGTTCCTAAGTAGGGTGGAGGGGGGACAGATAAGACTGGTGCTATGTAGAAGCCCGGTGCACTCTCCATCATGCAGCGAAGGTATCTGCAGTTGGTGCCTTTCAAAGGAAGTAGCTCGGACAGCGTCTGTCTTTAGGGGGCAGTGAATGAGGCTGCCAGCAGGTGGGCGGCTCTGAAAGCGAGGTGCCTCTCCTGCCACAGTCCACATTTGGGAGAGCTGAGCACCAGAGCGGGCAGAGGATGATTGGAGGGAGGGATCGGATCCAGACATGCTCACCCCAAGGCGTCTGAGCCCCTAACAACGGCCCTTACATCGGCCTCAGGCATCACTCCCACCTGTGACCTTCCTTCATGTATGTATCAGCAGGGCCCAGGCCTGACTCCTGGTTCTGTTCTCAGGGATCGTTTGTGAGGCTGGGCGTGAACTGGGATCAACAAGAAGCAAGGAAAATGCCTTTGCACAGTGTCCAGGATGGCAGTGATTACATTTCTCCAACGATTAATGCCAAGAGACAGTTGCCATGTGCTTAGCAGCCATTTGTAGATCTTTGGATCTATTGAGGCATTTGATCATTTTAGTTGAGATGTATATATATATATATATATATATATACATATACATATATATATAGTTGTTCTTGTTGTGGAGTTTCTTTTCTTTATATTTTTTTTTTTGTTGTGGAGTTTCACAGACATAAAACTATACAGGTATGGTCACACTTTGGGATACCATGAGTTTGGCTCCAGACTACGAGAAAAACTTAGTGTTGGAATTAGGCAGAGAGACTTAAAGGTCTCTGTTTCCTTTAGACTATAGTTTATTGAGTGTGCAATAACATTATTTCAAAAACACTTTAGTTAAGTACCTTGCTGCTAAAACCTGCTACCCATGAAGTGAATTTTCGGTGAGTTGTGGTGTTTTGTAGACCACAGAAGGTCTTGCTTTGGCGTTGATGCCTGCTGACTACAAGGATGGCATTTGCTGAAGCTGTGGTGGCTATGGAAGGTATTCAAAATAAAACAGCAGTGAGGTTTGCTGCATTGATTGTTTCTTTCAATAAATATTCCTCGGTGGCTATGATACTGCTGGAGAGATTTTTATCCACGGTACATTCTTTTTTTCAGAATGGGAGACAGTCATCCTAAGGTCTGAGACCACTTATCAGCTAAGCTTGTCTGGTGCTCTGAATCCTTTGTGATCCTTTCAGCAGTGTTCATCGCTTCTTCACCGGTGGTAGTTTTGTCTACAGATTACTTTCTCTGCCTGCTCAAACCAGGCAATTCCTCCTACAATCAAGTTTTGTCATGATGCTAGTGCCAGTTAGTTCCACCATTAGATCTGATGTCAAATTTGAGTTCTCTTGCTATTGAGGGTTGTTCTGGGCAGGGAAATCTTGAACCTTCAAGGAGGTGTGGGAATCAACTCTTCCAAGTGCCAGCTAATGCCTGACCTCCTCCCACATACCACAAACATTCTAAGAGGTGTCTCGAATGGGGAATTTTTTTCCAACAGGTTTTCACTTGACGCTCCTGCAGAGAAATCTCCATGGTGTCATGAAATATATTTATTAAATAGTAGTATCTGAAAGTCAGTGTGTCTCCTTGGCCCTGGGCTTTTCATTGGGGGCTATGTTTGCAGGCATGGAAACAACCTCAGGCTCATCTTCTAAAATAATTTTTAATTTTTTTGATGACTCATAGAGAGTATCCCACCCGTACGGCAGAGCCTGGCAAGCTACCCATGGCATACTTGATATGCCCAAAACAGTAACAATGATGGTCCTCATCCCCCTGACCCTGAAAGAGCCCCCAATATGCTATCGCACATGACAGGGATGAATGGAGATGTACTGGTGCCCGCTTAAGCGAATAGATGAGCAACAGGGTGATAGTGATAGTGATAGATGAATCAACATGAGGTACAGTTGCAGACTTACAAACTTTTTGATTACATTTCAGTCATACATGACCGAATACCGATCCCTCCACCAGCTCCCATTCTCCACCACCAATGTTCCCAGTATCCCTCCCGCCACTCCCACCTCTTCCCACCCCCTTCCTCTTTTTCTCTCTCTCCCTCTGGCTCATCTTATTTCTCACTAAGCTCTTGACTGACCAGCTGCACTGACAATGAGCAGCAATATTCTGTAAGGAGCGTTATTCCAAGCATGGGTCTCCACAGTGGGCTTACAATATTCAGATGCTCCGTCGCAGACAGATGTGCCATCATTACATCTTGTTCCATTTACAGAGCATGGGGAGAGGAGGTTCAGCAGAATTCATTAGGGAATTGAGGACCTCAGTCTCCCAGCTGCCAGCCAACTGAATTCTGTTAAGAGCCCAAATTAATAAGGGAACTGGTTCTGTCCCAGAACTTCCAGATGGTAATGCAGCTCTTTGGACCCCTTGACTTTGTCTGATCAGGTCCCTGGCTGGGCCCACCATTCCTCTGAGGTAGGAAAACCTACAGGTAGATGCTACTATGTTTGTGGCAAGTGCTGGTAGCATTGATGGAAAATGAGGGCTCTCTCGACGTCTGGAAACTCTCTAGTCCTGCCACTAATCATCTTGATAGAGTTTTTGTTTCCACATCATTTGTGCTACTCGGAGAGACTGAGGTTTGTTTAGTCTCGCTGATCATAGAGAGTTTGGTATCATTGCCTCTGTCTAATAGTTTTCTATTTTCTGTCTCATCAATTCCTGCTACAATATTTATGACCTCGTTTCTTCTTCCTCTCAGGATTTATGCACAGTAATCAATAAAAACAAATAAGGAGAGGATTTGAACCTAAAGGTCACAAAGGAAGATACACAGAGGGAAAATAAGCACATGAAAAGGCACTCATCACCATTAGTCTAGTCACTGCATACCCATTGGAATGTCTGAAATCAAAGAAGCTAGAAACGGAATTCTCCTCCACTGCTGGAAGGGTTTTAAATAATGCAACCATTTCCGAAGAGACTAGTTTTTCTACTTCTTAAAATGGCTATTTCATGCAGCCAGTCCATATCTAAATGATTGCCTATAAGGGAGCTGAGAACGTGTGTCCCCACATGCAGCTTGAGGGCATGTTCATTCATGATAATCTGGAGTCAAGGTCATTAGGTTATGCTGGAAAAAGGGTTATGTACGTTGTGACATAAGCACGGGTTGGCACATACAGAACAAATCAGAGAGAAATGCTGACCTACATCCCAAGATTGAAACATCTTAAAAGAACTGAGATGAATGGCACCTTAGCCCATTCAGCCACCCTGACACCCTAATTGAGCTGAATGGAAGAGCAAGACAGACCCCAAGCCCACCGTGCCCTACGATTCATATATATAGAAAACGTAGAAAGTGTCTAAGTCTGAGCAAAGGTGAATGGTTTCTTGGGGCCGCATAAAGGGCTGGAAGGGGCTGGTGGAGGTATGTTCATTTTGTTTTCTTGGTTTGTGGTGTAGGTTTTATGTGCACTCACACGCATATCCCTCAGAAAAGAAATACATTTTCAATACATGCATTTTGCAGAATATTAATTAATTATCCTCCATACAGGAAAAAGGTAATGGGAAGATGAAAAACTGAAGTATTAGCAATCAAACTACATTTTCATGTTGGTTTATTTGCTTTTCAGGGTGGATTGCTATCCTGGGTGCCATCTGGCTGTTGATTTTAGCTGACATCCGTGACTTCGAGATCATTCTGCACAGGGTGGAATGGGCAACACTTCTGTTCTTTGCTGCACTCTTCGTTCTGATGGAGGTAATGGGGTCTCTCAGAATGGGATCTTTTGCCTGATCTTTGTATTTCAGTGTTTTTAGTGAGCGAAGAAGGCCTGCCTGCTGTATTTCCACATAGTCTCCAAGATGATGATGGGGTGTATGTTGACATCATTTTATTTGACTCTCTTAAATTCTCCTATGGCTTATAAACTTAATCTAATGTCATCTACTGTAAGGTAGAATTTGCTCATTGGGCCTAAAGGAAGAGTCACAGGAAATGAATAGGGAGATAATATTACTTGTATAATTCTTTGCATGTTGCATGACATTTGAGGAAGTTTTCCATTATCATGGAAACGATGGTCATAGAAAAGAATGAGTAACATCTGTGCTCTTAGTTTCTTCAACTCTTGTGACAGAATTATTTTTAAATCTTTCTTTATAAACATATAAGCCTCATCTATGAAGGTGTAGTCAGGTAGAAAATTAGTAAATCCCAAAGGGTCGCATCTAGAACACTAGTGCCTTGTGTTAATTGCATTAACTTGCTGAAAAATCATATTCAATTTTCATCCTTTTTTGACTAAATTCTTGACAATAATTTTCCTGTAGGTTTTATTTTCCATTTGTATGTAAAAATTTATTTTACAAGGTAAGTGGTTGTATTTTAACAGCTAAAGAACATAAAATATTAATATTTTAATATATGTATATATAAAATTGATGTGATATTTTTAGCAAAAGAAGTAAGGAAGGTTATTAGGATTAAGAAAAGTCATTGTGTTTAAGGATGCATGGTGAATTTCAGATTTATTTAAAAAGAAGTTACTTTATTTGCTAAATTTATGATGAAAACACGAACAAATTGGAACTTCAACCTCTTTTACTCACTCAATATTCATTATTCTCTAGTTTTGCTAAACCATGAAGAATTTCCCTTTGGTATCTCTGTAAGAATATTGGTAACCTGTTAACGTATCATTATAACCATCAATAACTAGAAATGATTGAATCCCCAAAAATTCAGCTCAAGAATACATTTTAAAAACCTATTTTGGAGCTGGAGAGATTGTATGTAGGAAAGATGCTGGCCTTGCATATGGCTGGCCCCAGTTCAGTCCCTGACATGACATATGGTTCCCTGAGCCCTGCCAGGAGTGATCCCTGAACATAGAGTCAGGAGTGAGTCCTGGGCACTGCTGGGTGTGTCCCCTCCAAAACAAACAAAAGAACATTTGGCTTTAAGACCAGAGGTGGAAATCACTTCACTTAATCACTTAACTTCTCGTTAATCGGCGATTTGCTTGAGCGGGCGCCAGTAACGTCTCCATTTGTCCCTGTCGTGTGCTAGTGTAGCCCAATGGCGTCTGTTCGCTCTAGGAACATGAAGAGCCTCAAACCGATCATTCATGATCTTGATGAAGAAGTCTGACCACCTGGTAGGTGGGCGACCACGTGGTCTTTTGACATCCCATGGAATCCAGTCAGTAACAGCTCTAGTCCAGCGGTCGTCTTTAAATCTCATTACGTGACCAGCCCATCTGATTTTTGACACCTTGGCAAATGAGACAGCGTCCCTGATTCTTGATCGTCGACGGATGTCGGAATTACAGATTCTTTCTCTCATTTGAGTGAAGCGTGATATTCCAAGCATAGCTCTTTCAATTCTTGAAAGAGGTGGAAATATTGTTATTTATTCATGATTTTTTTTCTGTCCCCGTGTTTGTCTTTGCAGAAGACTTTAGGTGGAATTACTCTGTAGGAGACTGTGTGAGAGACTGTCTGTCTGTCTGTGTTGTGCCCTTAAGGGGCATGAGGACTGACTGACTGACACCTTTGGGCATATTAAACACGAGGCAGTGCCCCCTGTGAGATAGGGCTATCCAGGCAGTTTCTGGCTTTTGTTTTTGTGTCACACCCAGGGAGGCTCAGGGGTGACTCCTGGCTCTGTACTCAGGAATCACTCCTAGCAGAGCTCGGGGGACCAAATGCGATGTCGGGGATTGAACCTGGGTCAAGGCAAGAGTCCTCCCCACTGTAACTATTGCTGAAAAGCCATATTCAGTTTTCATTCTTTTTTGACTAAATTCTTGACAATAATTTTCCTGTAGGGAAATTACTGTCAAGGATTATTTCCAGGGATCAGTTTTGTTCAAGGCAAGAGTCCTCCCCACTGTAACTGTTGCTCTGGCCCCAAATGTCAGTTTTCTTGTGTGAGTGCTCCGTGCTGACACAGAGGTCATGGAGTGGAAACATAATCCCCATCCACCTTCCGTGGCTGGTCCTGGGAACTTCTGTCTGGTGGCAATGTCTGTTCTGTGCATTTTCTCAGCTTTGTCCTTCACTTTGTGTTGAGGATGCTAAACTTTGCAATTCTATTTTATTGTTTTTTTTTTTGGGGGGGGATTGTGTCTAAAGGTTCTCAGGGATCACTTCTAGTGGGGCTCAAGGGACAACAGTTGGAGCTGGGGATTGAACCTGGGTTAGCTGCATGCAAATGTCCTCCTGTACTGGGCTCTGGCCCAGTTTTATTTTTTGAAAACCATTTTTATTAAGGTTCTGAGATTGGCACCTTTTTGGTTGTTGATGGTACTTTTCATGGGTGTGGCATTCAAACCCCACCAGAGAACCACTTCCCCCCAGCAGTGTCCCCGGGACCCCGCCCCCATCCACTCTGTGAACTCTCAGCTTGTGGACAAAGTCTTCAGTCCCAATGACTTGACCATTAGTTATTTCCTTACTTGTGTGTTCTTTTTTTATCTCATATCTGAGATGAAAATCATCTGTTTTCCTCTTTCATTATGGAAAATGATACACATAATTTGGAATTTCACAAAAAGTTGTAAATCAATGATAAATGGGTAAAATTTTTAAAAGTTGTATAATTTTTATGGGCATATAAATTAAAAATTAATATAAAGAATTCTGTGCTAATAAATTTTAAGATTTACAGGAAATAGATAAATACAACAAATTTAAAAATTAGGTGTCTGGAGTGATACGACTGTGGCTAGGGCATTTGCCTTACATATGGCCAGCCTGGGGTCAATTGCTGGCTCCTGTCTGGCTCCTGAGCGTCTACTGGCTGAGCTTAGAGCCAGGAGTAACCTCTGGGCATCACTGGGTGTGACTCCCCAACAACAAAATATTTAGTAAGTGAAGAGAGTTAAAACAAATTTAAGGGACAAAGCTGATTAGGCCTATAGAAGTATAAAAGTGTGTTTTTTCCTAAGAAAGGGACTATTGGATTTATATTAGGAAATGCTATATTATAGTCACTGCTCAAGTGTCTATATTGATAAGTAAAGGGTCGTAATAAATATTTTTTCTATGAAAAAACACCTTATTAGATATATAACATTCAATATAAATGAAATGTTGAAATGCTACTGTAGATATATAGTCCCTGACCAGGTTAGGAATGATGCATTCCTTAATCTAGCAGAGGGCAAACATTAGCCCCATGAGTGATTCCACACTCAATTCCAAACGCTGTAAGTTTGTCTTGCTTTTTCTGGAAGCTCCTTTAATGCTTCTTGCAAGACTGGTTTTAAGGCTGTGAATTCCCCCAGCCATTGCCTGTCCACAAAATCTCTGTACTGCTCCTTCCCAGCTGAATGGAAATGCAGCTGGACAGAGTATTCCTGGTGATGTTGTCAGTCCTTCGAGTGTCTGTCCTATCTCCTTTCAATCTCTTCTGGATTGCAGAGTCTCATTTGATAGATCTGCTGTGACTCTTCTGGGTCTTCCTCTGGTATGTAAGTTCCTTTGTGATTCTGCTGCTTTCAGTATTCTGTCTCTGGATTTCGTCATTTTGAGTACAATGTGTTTTCCCAGTTGCATTGATTTGGGTTGGAGCTCTTTGGGCCTCTTGATCTTGGTGCCTGTAATCTTCAGCTCTGGGGAATTCTAATCGATGATTTCTTTAACTATTGTTTCTTCATCAGATTCACCCTCTGTTCTTCAGGGATTCTGATGATTCTTAAATTGTTCCCTTGGAACCATTTCCACAGCTCTCTGGTATGCTGTTCATTTCTTTTCAGACCTTTCCCCCCTTCTGTTCTTTTCCCCCAGGTTCCTCCTTCTCATCTTGGATCTCTTCGATCTTTTCTTCAGCTGCTGTCATTCTGCTGTTCGGAGCTTCTATTGAGGTTTTTTTTTTTTTTTTTTGCGGGGTGTGTTGTAGAGAGAGAGTCACACCAGCAGTCCTCAGAACTTACTCCTGATTCTGCACCCAGGAATCACTCCTGGCAGTGCTCGGGGAACCATATGGGATGCCCGGGATTGAACCTGGGTTGACCTTTTGCATGGCAAATGCTCTACCTGCTGTACAATCCCTCTGCTCCCAGCTCTGGAATTTTACAAAGTACTTTACTGAGATAGAATTTACAGAGAAAATCTCTACCCTGACCCCCTGCCAACTTAAGTTTACAGTGTAATGACTTTCAGTAAATTCAGAATGGCTGTGTCCTCTCCTCGCCCCTCAAAGACCCCCCCCCCCCCCCCCCATTATATTATTTACAGCCAGTTCCAGTTCTCCAGTCAAGGGCAGTTAGGAACATCTGCAGTCACAAATATTTCTTCTATCATGATTTGCCTTTTCTGGGCATGTTGCGTCAAAGGAAGCAGATCCTTTGTTATCTTCTGATTTGTGATTTTTGTTTCTTGTTTTGGACCACACTCATGGTACTCAGGGCTGACTCCCAGGACCATTTGGGTAAGCGTGTGATTCTGGGGATGGAATTTGGAGCTGCTGTGTGCAAAGCCTGTGTTCTGGCCTGTTGCCCTACCTCTTGGACCCCTTGTGGTCCATCCTGTCTGCTTTTTAAAAATTATAGATCTGATTATGTGAGGTCCATCCATACTTACCTATGCATATGGAGCTAATTTGATTTATTTTTGTAAAGCTTCCTTCTTTTTTTGGGGGCGGTCACACCCCGCAATGCACAGGAGTTACTCCTGGTTCATGCACTCAGGAATTACTCCTTGCAGTGCTCAGGGATGCCGGGAATCAAACCTAGGTCAGCTGCATGCAAGGCA